ATTTTATTTATTTATTTGACAGAGAAAGAGACGGCGAGAGAGGGAACACAAGCAGGGGGAGTGGGAGAGGGAGAAGCAGCTTCCTGCTGAGCAGGGAGCCCGATGTGGGGCTCGATCCCAGGACCCTGAGATCATGACCCGGGCAGAAGGCAGACCCAGGCGCCCCAGGATAATCTTTTTTTAAAAAATTATTACTATTTTTTTAAGAGAGAGCACACATACGTGCGGGGCGGGGTGTTGCAGAAGGAGATTTTTTTTTTTTTTTTTTTTTTTAGGGAGCAAATCTTAAGCAGGCTTCATGCCCAGCCCAGAGCCTGACACAGAGCTCGATCTCATGACCTGAGATCATGACCTGAGCCGAAGGCAGACACTCAACCAACTGAGCCACCCAGGCACCCCAGATTATTCCTTTTAAAGTATACAATTCAGTGGCGTTTAGTACATTCACAGTGTTGTACAATCATCACCTCTATTTCTAGAACATTCTTATCACCCCAAAAGGAAGCACTGCGCCATTAGCAGTCACTCCCCATTCCCCCTCCATTTGCTCCTGGCAACTACCAGTCTGTTTTCTATCTCTATGGATTTACCAATTCTGGATATTTTACATAAATAGAATCACATAGTATGTGTTTTTTTGTGTCTGGCTTCTTCCAGTGAGCATAATATTTCCGAGGTCCGTCCACTGTGTGGGGTGCATCAGTCCTTCGCCCTTCTAAGGCTCAGTGATATTCTGTAGTTTGTTTTTCCGTTCATCCACTAATGAACATTGATTTAATTTTTACTGAGGTTCAACTGACATACGGGAAAAGTATACAAATCTTAGCTCAGTAAATGTGTACATCTATATTACACCTGGGAGTGAGGAACCTGCTTTAGCTGGGGATGGGAATGGGTAGGCAAGTCGCACCTCCCCAAAGAGGACACATTTAAGTCCAGACGTGAGGGATGAGAAGGACACAGGAAGAGGAGGAGGGACCAGCAGGTGCAAAGGCCCGGTGGTGGGAGGGATTGTTTGAGATCTAAAAGGAGGCCAGCGAGTGGGGATACCGTTACCATCACAGTACTTAGGAGCCACGGAAGGTTTCCAAGCAAGGGTATCATGCCCTGGGGCCCCGCATAGTCCATAACCCTGTTCCTTGCCCTGCCCAGGCGGGGCAGACCGCCCTGATGCTGGCCGTCAGCCACGGGCGGGTGGACGTGGTCAAAGCTCTGCTGGCCTGTGAAGCGGACGTCAACCAGCAGGATGACGACGGCTCCACGGCTCTCATGTGCGCCTGTGAGCACGGCCACAAGGAGATCACGGGCCTCCTGCTGGCTGTGCCCAGCTGCGACATCTCACTCACTGACCGCGTGAGTCCCTGGCCCGGCGCGCCCCAGGGAGGGCGGGAGCACCGCCCGGGGCTCGTCATAGCAGTGGATGCTTTACAGGACGGGAGCACCGCTTTGATGGTGGCCTTGGACGCCGGGCAGAGTGAAATTGCGTCCATGCTGTACTCTCGCATGAACATCAAGTGCTCGGTGAGTGTCAGCCCTGGCGGGGGTGCGGGGAGGGGGGACGCTCTTCGAGGGGCCGATGGTTAGGAAGGGCTGGGGCCGTATGGGGCCCATGCATGTTGAACCTTCCTGGTGCCCCCGTGAGGAAATGAGGCACAGACAGCTGAGAATACATGATAGTATTTGAACCTGGACCTGTCTGGTTCCAAAGGCTGGCTCTTAATTACCATTCACTCATTCGAGAAATATTTACAGAACACCTGCTGCATGACAGACCCTGGGGGCCACAGCCCCAAACCAAAGAGGAAACGGTTTCTGCCCCCACAGAGCAGGCAGATACAAAATAAACAAATCAGTGTACCATGACCAGGTGATAGTAACTACTGGAAAGAAATCTGAAACAGGATAGGAGGGGACAGTGAGAGATGGGGAGGTGCTGCAGACGTCGGGGAGTGAGCTGTGTGGCTGTCCAGGCAGAGGGAACCTGCAAAGGCCCTGAGGCGGGAGCGTGCTCGGTGTGTTTGAGGAGCATCAGGGAGATGAGAGCAAGGAGGTGACACCGTAGATCATGCAGGCCCTTGTGGGCCACAGTGAGGCCTTTGGCTTCTGCTCGAAGCATGTCAGTGTATATTCAAGGCCTTGAGATGTCTCCCCGTAAAGAAACCTAAACTGCGTCTAACTCGGCATCGCTCTTATTTGAGCACAGAAACCAGGGTTTTTAAGAAATGATGCGTGTTAGCAGAACACTCTCTGGAAGCCTAAGAGGAGGATAATTTTGATACTTGCTGTATCATAAGCGCCTGATGGAGGAGAGAGGCGTTCCAGTCTGAAGGGGGAGACAGAGGCACTCCTCATAGGTCTCTAAAGCGATACCCTTGTCTGACGGAGGAGACAAGCTCTTCCAGTCTGAGGGACCGTGCTCTAGGTGCCTCTCAGCCATGATTTCTTGAACCCTCCACAAGAGCCTGATTCAGCTGCATAAAGTACTGTTATCTTTTCCGTTTTTCAGGTGGGGAAACTGAGGCTTAGAATATTTACACCCCCGGCCCAAAGTCTCACAGATAGGAATGGGGGAGGCCCCGAGAGCCGTCTGTCTCCAGACCTAGGGCAGGAAACTCACGTTCCTCCTCACTCTGCCTTGCCCTTGCCTCCCTGAGGCATGTCTGCAGCCTGGCTCGAGGGTGGCATGGTAGGTGTTGACCACAGTGACCCCCCCCCCCAAATAGTCCAGGAGAGCGAGGGTCACTGAGATAAGCCCTCCGTCGCCCACGTGACTTCCAGGTTCTTACTGAGGCTCTAGGTTTTCCCAGCTTCATTCCCCAGAATGTTTGGACACCTGGGACTCAGTTGTTGTGCTCAGGGCATCACCTGGGGATCAGCTCGGCCTCAGTTTCTTCAACTGAAAGATGGGGGTGATAGGGCCAGGTGATGAGCTGTTGTCTGATGTGTGGTCCCGCTCCCAGGGGCTCCTGAGGGCCAGACCCCAGTCCTCCATCATTGTCTACCTAGACCACTGTTACTGCCTCCACCCTGGCTCCCACCCTCACTGCTGCCTCCAGTCTGTACCTGCCCCCCCCCGCCCCCCCCCAGCAAGCAGAGGTCAGTCACTGTGAACACGTGAGTTAGGGTATATCCCTCCTCAGCTCACAGCCCGCTGTAGCTGTCACCCTGCTTGGAGAAAAAACCAAAGTCCTCCCCAGAGCCCACCAAGCCCTGCATGAACACCCT